TGGCTGATGAAGGGCGGCAGGTACTTCCTCCGATCCGGCTCTGGGATTGGCTCAATACTTGGCGAAGTTGTAACATCGTTACAATTTAGGCGCTTTGAATTCGGCTTGCAGTCGCGTTAGGGGCGCTTTCTAGTACGCTAGTTAGATAGAGTACTTTAAGGCACGTTATAGATAGAGGCAGCACGTCTTTAGCTTAGAACACGTTGCAATTAGGAGTTAAAGAGAGCAAGTTAAAGATCTAATTTAGTATAGAAAGTCTAAGTAGTGCGTTATTAAGTCATTACGCGTTGTAGTGTCGACGTCGACGCGCCGGTGGAGCGTGATCGACTCGCTTGGGTGATTGACTCGCTTCTGAACCACGTTATACACTTTTCTTACATTATTTATAAATATAAATGCTATAGTTAAAACCAAAACCTAAATTAAGACCCTCAATTATTTCTTAGAAGTAGTACCTCTTATCTTGTATAATTAACTAAGACACTATCTACGTAAGTACAGCTTTCAACTAGCAGGAAAAGTTAATATAGATATTAATACTATCCCTCTATACTTAGACTAAGCTAGTAAGATCTAGCTAATCTAGGGGGTGTGTCAGGATATATCTACTCTACCTTCTATATAGTGTAGAATGTGGGCCTTTTCACACTAGAAGAAGCGTGTAGTTCAACTAGAGCTATAGCATGAAACTTAACCCCCTCTATACTAAATATACTTTATTTTAGTGTACGCTGTAAGTTTAGCTCTATCTATTTTCTTTTACTCTATAAAACCGCAATTAATATAATATATTTCTTAGGTTCTAGTTATAGATTCGCGTTATCCTTATCCCTGAGCCAAATCCTATTCTACTAATTCTTATTAGACTTCTCTCTCAAGTTCACAGACGCAATATATCAAATCTTTCCTTTGTTTAGGAAAAGTCTGATTTCCTTAGAGCCCTTAGAGATTCATTTCCAAGAACTTTCTTCTTTCTTGCGGTCTCACATAACGCAACGAATTTCGTTGCGGCTTTGTTTCCAAAGAGGACTATTGTCAATATGCTCCATCATAGATATCAACTATTTTTCAATGGATTATGTCGCGCAATTTACTCTGAACCGTAGAGTTGTTTTCACAAGTATACTTCTGTAACACTCAGTTACCTCATACGAATTGATACTCTTATACAATTTGATATAGTAGCTCTTGGCCTTGAATGAGGCGTTCAAGGTTCTCTGCAGTCTCTTCATACCACGTGTTCAAAGTTCCTTCTTCCACATACCCCATATGCGGCGTCAACAGCACCCTGCTCTTGCCTTTCACATCCCAATCTTCATTTCGCCATGGACTGTCCGCTGGAAGAGGCTCAATATCGAACACATCGAGCGCAGCTCCGCGGATCCGGCCATTTCGAAGCGTATCCAATAGAGCTGCTTCATCGACAAGCGGGCCGCGAGACGTGTTAACCAAAAGACCAGAGGGTTTCATGCATGCCAATTCGTGTGTGCCAACTAAGCCTCTTGACCGGTCGCTGAGCACATAGTGCAGCGACACTACATCCGCCGTTTTGAAAAGCTCTTCTTTCCCAACCACCTTGAACGTCTTTTCATACTCGTCTATCATGCCAGCGCCTGTGATTGGAACACCACATTCTTCCGCCAGCCTATCCGCTTTCTCCTGTGTCAAATTTGCGCTCCAGCAAACAACCTTCATACCAAAGGCCAGAACACCGACTCTAGCAACGTGTGCACCGATTCTGCCCAGACCAACTAGCCCAAGCGTCTTACCCTGCAAACCGAGTGCCATTTCCGTCTGCCACCCAGCAGGACTGCCTTTACCCTTGACCACTGCATCATCTGCAGCTATGTTCCTCGCAAGTCCGAGTATAAGTGCCCAGACATGCTGCGTAGTAGGATGCCCACCGCCCTGCTTGATTGGAAACGACCGCGGGGTCTCTCCACTACCTCTTCCATCTGTCCTCCCCTTTCCAGGGGCTGTACATACCCTTACGTTTAACTCTTTCATTGTGTCCAAATCCCAACTTTCAAACTTACCGCCAGTCGCAAAGATGACTTTGAGATTTGGCAGTTGGAGGAGGAGTTCGCGTGGGAATGGCGTCCGTTCACGTACTGTTGATAGGACAGAAAATGGCTTTAATCGATCGACGAGGGCTTTGCGCTGTACATCCGACGTCTTTGGATGTGCATATGATGGCAGCGTATCGTTGAAAACGGTAATTTCAAGCTGTGATGAGTCGATGTGGGAGAAATGCTGTGCTGCTATGCCGTGATAATCGTCAAGCACCGCTAGTGTGATTGGCAATCGTGTGGCCATGACGGCGAGTATGAGATTCAAGGAGGGGTATCTGAGAAATTGTACGTGTGAGATATGTTCGCCTGTGGCTAATGCATGTGATAGTAATTCATTCCATGCGTTGAAGCGGCGACTCGGGTGGCTGTGGTAAGATGAATTGAGACGGCTGTGTCTGTTTGATGGAGAGTGTGAACTGGTCACTTGCCAACAAGTTGGTGACTTGGTATATGAACCGCCAGAATACTCGAATCTGTGTTGAAGGACGAATGTGTATGTTCAGCCGACTTCGCGTGTCGGGCGTGACACAATAACTAGCCCCAGTCTCGGCCCCAAATTACTAAGGAAGCACCCCAGCCCCCACCCACACCCGTGTCGGGATGTGGGGAGACATGAGTGCGGGAACTATAAAGGTTGGCTCAGAAGACAAGTTCATTGTGGGTCGCTGTTAGAGTAAAACTTTGTCAGCATGTTTTGACCTTTTGTCGATTGTGATGTGAGTTTTGTACATGTGCGAAGAATGAACCAGTCTATCAATCCATAATGATGTGCCCCTGGGTATCTAATGCAAGACGATGCGCAATACTACAATTGGGCGTTTTGTCATGTCAACAGAATGCGTGCATCCTCATGATTGATCATGACTTCCTCGTTTTCAAACGAGTACTTCCGCCGCACGATTTCGAAGACAATGAGGCCAGCAGCTGTGCTTGGCACTTGCTTAATTGTGCTCATGAAGAAGTCGCGGTAAAGATAGTGTCTCCATCCACCGGCACGTTTGGCCAGCATCTTACACTGTGCAAATGTCTCCTCGTATGCATGGTAGTAACGTCTTACGATATGGGAAGGCTTCTTGTCGAGATGTGCTTGGAAGTCTAGAGCCTCGAGACGGCGATAGTGCACGTCCTGGATTTCCGTCAAGGGGTGCTGGACGAGTTGGGACGTGACGGATGCAGAAGCGCCTGCTAGAAGCAAGAAGATGGGCTCCAGCATGTAGTGGGGTCGTATGACTGGCCGGTCGTCATAGTCCTCCTCCATATATGGGATTGAGCTCTCTAGCAGAGTATCGCGCGTTCGGCTGCCGTAATACCGTGAAACGAATTCTAGGTAAGCCTGGCTCTTGATGGTCTCAAAGGTACAGAAGAAGACTGCTGAGCCGAAAGCATCCTTGGTAAAGCTCAGTGTCCAGCCTGCGAAGATGCCTTGCAGGCCGATTGACCGTAGCTTGTATCCCGCGTAGTGCCACATGGTCTTATGCTTGCCGTCGAGGATGTCGGCAGTGCGAAAGCGGGTTTGCAGGGCGTCGAATGGGGCGGCGACTATCGACTGTATGCCGCCACCGATGAAACCGGCGGCAAACGTCACAGACGGCGGCGGCGGAGGGTACACGCGCTTTGTTTGGTACGAGGAGGGCTCGTGGAGGGCCGACAGACTGTGCAGGTATGCCGTGTACAGCACTGCGCCGATGCTAGACCATGTTAGACTTTGCATACATGCAGGCATGGAGTGTGCATACCCTGTGTTTGCCATGAGAGGCGGCAAGACCTGCTTGGGTATGAAGCCCCAGCCCTCGGTGCGTATGGCATGGGCGAGCACCGCCGGCGTGGTCATTCTCCACGACCACTTTGCATCTGCCATGACGTGCGGGTTGATGGCCCTGGCATAGCCCATGTAGTCGATGCGTCCTCTGAAGAAGGCTTTGACTGGCGCCCTGAAGTAAAAGGCGACCATTCTCGCGGCGACGGCTCGCATACCCGCCGCCTGCACGCCTGTTGCTGGTGCCTTGTTGGGTGCTTGGGGCGTCTCGGGGGCACTCTCATTGGAGCCATGGCTGCGGGAGGAGACTCCAGCGCGGACACTGGAGCCGGTCGTCATTGCATAGCGTACGAGGTGAGAGAAGGCTGCGGGCGCATGGGTGGGTGACGATGGCTCAGGCCCAAGGCGAATGCGCGCGCCGCGTGCGAGAGTCACAAGCGGGCTGGTGGTGACTTGGAGATACGGCCTGGAATCGCAGCGATCGGCGGGCTGGTCAAAACCATGGACAGGGGGAGACTGGCGGCATAGATACACTCACAGCTCACGTCCACCGAGTTATTTCGCTTCTGGACACGGGCAATGTGGGTGGGGACGGGCACAGTGAAGGTAAAGGCGACTAGGCCCGTTGTGGAGTTGAGAGAGGAGAGGGCACGGGCCTCGGGCAGCGCGTAGGCGTCCTCGCGTCGCCGTCGGCCATCAGGTTTCGCGACTTTCCGTCTCTCTCTCTCTCTCTCTCTCTCTCTTCCCCAGACTGCCCACCACCCCGTCCCCGCCAGCCCATTCGAAGGTCTCCATCTGCGCACCTTCAGCCATGGCGGACGACATTGTCATCGACAAGGCGCTGTTCCACGAGCGCCTCAACAACCTTGTAACCAAGTGGAAGGCCGACAAGCGCTCGGGCGACCAGGTTTTCCAGGGCGCAAGCGCGATCGCGACGCTGGTGGGCAAGGCGAGCGAGCCTGGCATCTACTTGAAGCCCGCCGCTTTCCAGGTACGACTGCGCATGCCGGTACTGTAGCAAACAGCGAGCTGACCAGGCCCATAGCTGTGGCTGCTAGGCTATGAATTTCCTGCGACCCTCTTCGTCATCACGCCCGACCTCGTCCAGATTGTCACAACCAAGAAGAAGGGTAAGTCACGTGCGACTGTCCAAACGGCCAACATGTGCTGATGCTGGTGATGCAGCTACGTACCTAGAGCCGCTAAAAGGCGGCAAGGTGCCTGTCGAGATCCTGGTACGGGGCAAAGACGCCGAGGAAAACAAGAAGCAGTTCCAGACATGCATAGACACCATCAAGAAGGCCGGCAAGAAGGTCGCCGTGATGAAGAAGGACAATGCCAACAACGCCTTTGCCAGCGAGTGGAAAGCCGCCTTTGACGAGGCTGGGTTCAAGGACGAGGACCAGGTTGATCTGGCCCCAATCTTGTCCAACGCGGCCCTGTCCGTCAAGGACGAGAAGGAGTTGAGGACCATCCGCGATGCTGCCCGAGCGTCGAGCGCCCTCATGACCAACTACTTTGTTGAGGAAATGTCCGACATACTCGATTCCGAGAAAAAGATATCCCACCGCGCTCTCGCCGACAAGGTCTCCAACAAGATCGACGATGCCAAGTTCTTCGAGAAGCAAAAAGTGTCCAAGTCATTTGACTCTCTACAGCTGGACTGGTGCCTGCAACCAACCATTCAGAGTGGCGGCTCGTACGACCTCAAGTTTGCAGCCGAGCCTGACGAGAACAATTTGCACGCGGGCGTCATCATCTCCGTCTTGGGTCTGCGCTACCAGACCTACGGCGCCCTGGTCGGTCGAACATACATGGTCGGGCCCAACAAGGAGCAGGAGAATGCATACAAGCTGCTTTTGGCTATTCATGATCTGGTCATCAAGTCTCTCCGCGACGGTGTTGTGGCCAAGGATGTGTATAACAAGGCGCTTGGAATGCTCAAGTCGAAGAAGCCAGAATGGGAGAAGCACTTCCCCAAGAACCTTGGGTATGGCGTTGGTGTTGAAAATAAGGACTCCTCGCTCCTTCTGAGTGGCAAGAACACGCGCGTGCTCAAGGACGGGATGACTCTTGTGGTTCAGACCGGCTTCTCCGATCTCGAGAACAGTAAGCCGCAGGACAAGAAGAGCAAGAATTACTCGCTTGTGCTCGTCGACACGGTCCGGGTTGGACAGGGCGATTGCGCGGTCTTCACCAAGGATACAACCGCGGACCTGGATGCCGTATCATTCTTCTTTGACGAAGAGGAAGAGGAAGCGAAACCAAAGGCAAAGAAGGAGCGTCCTGCCATTGCCCAGACCAACATCACAAAGACTCGCACGCGCCATGAGCGAACAACAAACCAAGATGCCGAAAAGGAAGAGCAGCGGCGGCAACATCAAAAGGAGTTGCACGCAAAAAAGCAAACAGAGGGTCTGGAGCAATATAGTGAGGGCGCAAAGTCTCTCAATGGTACAGAGGAAAAGCGCTTCAAGAAATTCGAGTCCTACAAGCGCGACAACCAGTTTCCTCCGTCCGTGGCCAATCTGGAGATTGTTGTCGACAAGAAAAACCTCACAGTTCTCCTCCCCATCATGGGCCGCCCCGTGCCATTCCATATCCACACGATCAAAAATGCATCACACACCCCAGAGGCGGATTTTACTTCTCTCCGCATCAACTTCCTTTCGCCTGGCCAAGGTGTAGGCCGCAAGGATGACCAACCTTTCGAAGACCCAAACGCGCACTTCATTCGAAGCCTGACTTTCAAGTCACACGACGTAGATCGCATCGATCAGATCACCAAGGACATTACAGAGCTCAAAAAGGACGTTGTGCGACGTGAGACTGAAAAGAAACAGATGGAGGACGTTGTTGAGCAAGACAAGCTGATTCCCCTCAAGACCCGCAAGCCTCATATGCTCGATCTCATCTTCATCCGCCCAGCGCTAGACGGCAAGCGCATCCCTGGTAGTGTGGAGATTCACCAGAACGGTTTGCGCTACGTCCACGGCAACGGCACCGCCAAGATTGACGTACTCTTCAGCAACATCAAGCATTTGTTCTTCCAGCCTTCACAACACGAGCTCATTGTCATTATCCACGTCCATCTCAAAAACCCTATTATGCTGGGCAAGAAGAAGACCAAGGATGTGCAGTTTGTCCGGGAAGCTACCGAGATGCAATTCGACGAGACTGGCAACCGCAAGCGCCGCCACAAGTTTGGTGATGAGGAAGAGTTTGAACAAGAACAAGAGGAGCGCAGGCGACGCGCAGCTCTCGATAAAGAGTTCAAGAACTTTGCCGAGAAGATTGCCGACGCCGCACGCAATGAGAATGTCAGCGTCGATATTCCATACCGTGAGCTTGGTTTCAATGGTGTACCGTCGCGATCTTCAGTTCTGGTTCAACCAACAACAGACTGCTTGGTTCAGCTCACGGAGCCTCCTTTCACATGTCTCACACTCTCGGAAATTGAGATTGTCCATCTTGAGCGAGTGCAGTTTGGTCTTAAGAACTTTGACATGGTCGTTGTGTTCAAGGACTACAACCGCCCACCGGTCCACATCAATACCATCCCTGTTGAGTCGCTGGACCCTGTTAAGGATTGGCTTGATTCTGTCGACATTCCCTTCACCGAGGGTCCGCTCAACCTGAACTGGGCGACCATCATGAAGACGGTGACGTCCGACCCACACCAGTTCTTCGCCGATGGCGGTTGGTCATTCCTGTCTACTGAGACCGATGACGAAGGTGATGGTGATGAGGAGGAAGAGTCAGCCTTTGAAGTCTCCGAATCTGAACTTGCCATCTCGGACGAGTCATCTGACGAAAGCGACTTTGATGAGAACGCTTCGGACGAGATGAGCGACGAGGGATCTGAAGAGGACTTTTCAGAGGGCGAGAGCTGGGACGAACTGGACAAGAAGGCTGCTAAGAAAGACAAGGAGGCTGCTCATGACGACGATGAGGATAACAAGGGTAAGAAGAGGAAGCGATGAGCTGCTTCCAAGTGACGGCTCACTTTCTTTTCTTTTTTCCCTTGATTTCCTTTGAGTCGTCTTTCGTGTAAGAGTAGGCTTAGTAGTGAGAGAGTTGGTTGGTTGTCCCATCGACCAAGTCCACCAGAGGTGGCAGGCATTTCCTAGTAGATATCCTATGTGATGCTGTCTTCTTCTTCTTCTTTCTTTTTTTTTCTTCTCATCTTCTCTACGTCGTATGTCATGAACATGTATCGTCTGATCTCTCAAGGTGGACCCTCGATGCAAATATCAAAATAGTAATGCAAGAATTTTACAGCAAAGACTTTGCTATTGCTAGCGATGTTGCTACAAGGGTGTATTTGTGTCTTCGTACGTTGGTCTTGAAAGACGCGACATGAATGCATGTTGCATGAGCTGGGACATGACTGTTCGTGAAGCACAATTGCGTAGAAAAGAAAAGCTCCCACCGACATACTCTGGTATTGACTTATATAACCATATTACTTGAGTTTAACCTATCTTTCTCTACCGAAGCCCCTCATCCCGCATGTACACGGAGCACAATAGCATAACAAAAGCCAATCAGAACGCCTCTGGGTATCTAACGCCATACAATGCCGTAAATCATATATATGTATATGGATAAAGAAAAACGGAAAAAGCCATGGCCCCATCGTCCTATCATTGCCTTTTTTTTTACGCCCCTCCCCCCCCACCTCGCTCCATAAAAGCAAGATAAGAAAGAGATCCCCTCTCTATTCATCGCTTCGGTCAAGGATTTGAATGAACAAAGCGTGCCCCTTGGCATGGTGAGCGCGCCTGCTTAAAAGCCTCGATACGGTCTAGCATCCAGCCCGAAGTCCACTGCCGCTCGCCGTCGCGGTCTTGGTGTTGGCCTAGGCGAACGGAGTGGCCGAGGAAACACTCAGTACCCGTGTGTTGGAACTGCAGACAATGGCCATCCTTGATGCAAGTCCTTTTGCAGTCTTCGAAAGACTTGGATGCAGTCTTTCCCTTTTTGTATCGGACGTCATCGGACATGTTTGACCAATCTTTTGATTGTTCGCGGAGATGCGGCTCGATCATGGTGAAGAGTTCTTCGAACATTAGGGGGCGTTCTGGGTGTGTTCGCGCCTTTTCCCATTGGAGGAGGGTGGTGAAGTCGTCTTCGTTGAGGTGATGCATGGTCATGATGGCTTCGCACCATTGCTCATTGTCAAAGCGCATGGTATGGGGCTTTTCGCCGTTGAACATGGGCCAGTAGCCTCGGAGGGGGACGCCACTCTTCTTCAGGACCTGTGCTAGCATCTCGTCGCCGCAGCACTGCTTCTGCACGTCGACACCAAAGAAATGGGTGCCTGGGAAGTGCTTGTTTTCGCCAAACATTCTGCCCAGGGCCATGATCTTGTCGAGGGCAGCGCGCGACAGCACAAAGCCACTGCCGCCGTAGGCAAAAGTGGCCTTCTTCTTGGGCCAGACGGGCGAGCCAAAGTAGTAGGCGGTGCGGGGGTTGAAGTTGGAGAGGAAGCGATAGAGGTTGTCGTAGTTGACGTACGTGTCGAGCTCGAGGAAGACGTACCACTGCGACTTGGGCCGCATGTACGAGGTCCACTCCATCATGGGCAGGAACTTGTACTTGTCGAGCCTCCAGCCGTCGGGCATCTTGTCGCGCGTCGTGTTTGTCGTCTGGATAAGGTCGTAGACGTCAAAGTCTGGGTTGTCGAAGCGGTACTCGGGGCGCAGGTGGGCGAGGGCGTCGGCAATCTCGAAGCCGTTGTACGAGTCCTTGCGGTCGGAGAAGATGAGCAGGTCCTGCTTGCAGCGCCCAAGACGGTTGAGATAGGCGGGCAGCCTGGTGGCGACCTCGCCGGCGCCAATCTTGAGCACGATGGTCACGTCGTCCATGACGCCGGCGGCAAAGGGCGAGCATTCCTGGCCGAAAGGCACCACCTTTGGGGCAGATCCGGGACTGGCGGGAGGGGGCCGCTCGACGAGCACGTCGTAGCCACGCTCGCCCGGCCACAGCCGTGGCATCAAGGTCGAGAAGAAGAAGATGCAGAGCACGAGCGCGGCGCACACAAGGCGCAGCGGCGTCAATCGCACCATCATGGTGGTGGTGTTGCTCTGCCTGGGCCCGGCATGTTTGGAGAGCACAAGAGGTTCGGGCCTGACGCGCCAAATTGGCGCTAGCACAAGCTGCGATCCGGCTAGCCACCCGTCTTGGCCTAGCACTGGCACTGGCACTGGCACTGACACCATGATATCTTATACTTGGTACACCGACACGCTGACTGTTGCACTGCCCATGGCCCGTCTACCGACACCTCGCCCTCGACGCCGTCTGTTCTGCCTTGTTCCCTTTGCTTTTTGCCCCCACAGGCTGAGGTGGCGGGGTTGACCGCATGACGTCATGGTCACGTGTTCTGGGTGAAGGGCCTGTCGGCTGCATGGGGAAGGACATCATCTGCATACACCTACACCTACACCTACGCCTACGCCTACGCCTACGCCTACAGAGGAGCATGGCCCCTGCACAGAGTAGGCGTCGAGGTAAGCAAAAGCTACTTGTGCGCGTGCATGGAGAGTCTAACCCATCAAGGCACCCCCTTGAGGCCGCCTCACCATGCTCGACTCGCCCACGCCCGCAAACCCATAATGCCTATACACCTCCCTCCCCTTCATGCTCGTCTTCAGGTACACGGGCGTAGCCTTGTCTCCTCGATCCGCCCTCTGCAGGCCCCACCGGATCAGCCGGCTGGCCACCCCCCGACCCTGAAAGGCTGGCCATGTGATCAACAGCGCAAGATACCAATGCGCCTCTCCCTGCATGACCCTCGCTCTCTCTTCGTCGTCTTGCTCGAGCCCCGACTCCCAGTCTGATGAAACACCGCTCCACATTTGGTCAACAACCGTGTCGCTTAGGCCGAGAGAAGACTGCCATCCGTAGTGTGCGAGGGCGCTGCGGCGGAAGGCATCGTGAGTTGTCTTCGTATCTGGGTGGCCCCAGCATGCTGCGCCGACCGTTTCGCCCGTCGAGGCCAGGACGGCCTTGAGAAAGGTGAATTGCCCGTGAGCGAGGACGGGCATGAGGCGCTGGACCAAGCGCTGCCGGCGTATGGGTTCGGCAGGACGCAGCTCCTGCGGTTCTTTTCTCGCCCAACTTTCTTCACCGTAGCATGCATGCAGCCCTTGGGCCTGGGGAATACAGGCATGAGTAAACAATACCAACGGTCGCTGTCCAACTGGGATAAGGGTCGTGACGTACGATGGTGTCTGCATCATTTACTGTGCATATTTCAATGCGAATATCGCCATCTTCAAGACGCTGTTTCGGACGCTGGGGCGTGGGTTCCATGTCTGGCTGGTCGGCCGTCCAAGCTGTAGATTGCTGGGACAGATAAGTCGTAGTTATACGAATGCCAAACCCTGTTGCCTGGAATCCCGCAACGCTACGACCAATACGCACGTTTTCTCTGCGGCCATGATGCATCGCCTAGAACAAGGGGCGCCCGTGGCAATCATGGCAGCATATTGGGCGGAAGAGCAGCTTGGGTAGCGGCATGATAGTAGCCTGTTTGCCCATGGTGTGAAATGACTTGGCCAAGGTCCATACAGCCACCTTCCCGAAAAGGGCCAGCGCCACCATGGGCCTGATGTCACTCCGAGTCCGAGTCCGAGTCGGCATGGCATCCACATGACTACTATAAGCTCTCGGCATTCAGTCAATGCCGACATGCAGTCACGCGGGAACTCAACAATCACCTTCAATCAATCATTCGTATGCATGGCTTGTGTCAAAGCTACCGTAGCAACCGTGTGCTACGCCTATATCTTAACAAGCCAATTCCACCAAGTAGGCTCCCGACTAACAACAGCCTATCGAAAGTAGGCGGGTGCAGTAGCCTTGCTAACCATCCACGCTGCATCCAGCGCCTTGACAACGTCTTCAGGCAGAGGCCCCTTGTCCACATCCGCAAGGTTGCTCTCCAGTTGCTTTAAGCTGCTGACCCCGATAATGACGCCATCGTTTCCGCCCTTGACTCTCGTCTTGAGCTCAGAGTGGTGGATGCACCATCTCAGCGCAATCTCGACAAGCGTCAACTTGTGCTCTTGGGCTGCTTTCTCGGCAATCTGGAGTGCCTGGAACGTCGCGTCTTTGAAGTAGCGATCACGGTACATGCTGCCGAGGTGCTCGGCTTTGGCCCCAAAATGGCCTTCCTCGGGCTTGATATCTTTGGACTTGATCTTGCCCGAGAAGAGGCCGCCGGCAAGGGGATTGTAGATGACAATATCGATGCCATACTTGCGGCAAGCTGGAATGAGCTCCGGTTCAATGGCTCGAGCTGATTGTCGTCAACAAGGCATGCTAGCTTGGGCGAGGGTGGCTTACTGATGGCGTTGTACATGGCCTGGTAGATGGTTGGCTTGACCCATCCTCGTTCTTTGCAGATGTTGTACACCTCTGCAACCTCCCATGCAGCAAAATTCGACAAGCCCAGATTGACAAACTTGCCCTGCTGGTGCAGCTCGTTGACGGCACCGAGCGTCTCTTCAAAAGGTACCGAATGGTCCGGGGCATGCAGGTAGAAGATGTCGACACAGTCAGCGCCCAGCTCGTGAAGGCTGGTGTTGAAGTGTTTCTTCAGGTTCTCGGGCTTGTGGACGCCGGCCTCGAAGGGGTACACCTTGGTAGCGAGCGTCAAGCCGCGATCTTTCCACCCGGCCTGGCGGGTCCACGCCTCCTGCTTTCCGCCAACATACGTGCGCGCAGTATCAATCTCATTGTAGCCTTGGGCTTGGAAATAATCGAGATGTTTGGTGAATTCATCAAGGTCGGTTATACGGGCTCCGGTGCTCTCATCGGGACCTATTCCGCGTTACTGGGCGCACTTTGATCTGGCACCGTGGCAGCGTACCAAAAGTCATCAGCCCGAGGATGACGCGGTCCTTTGGGTTCTGTGCCAGCAGAGGCATTGTAATTGGCTATGGAGATGTCGTGTGATGGTCACCGTGGGTAGAGGGAGAGCTGGTGTCGGCCTGGAGGTCTTGGGGTGATGACGCCAGCGGGGTGAGTGCCCCGCCTGCGCGGACATCGGCCTCTGGTCTGGCTTAAGCCCGAATCATTCCGGCCACGGTCATGGTTGCGCCGCGATGCACATTTGCGATCCAAGGACAAGGAGAAAGAGGTAGTGTGGCAGTGGCAGTGGCAGTGGCAGTGGCAGTATTCACGGTGCCTCGCCGCGCCGCGCCACTGTAACACGGCCGACTGATGATCGTCAGGAGCACGCCTGCCAAGTCGGGGCCACCGCAACCAAGGCTGGCAGCGGCTTCGTTAGAGCAGTCGTATGCATAGGTGCACAGCAGCTGCGTGCGCGTGCTGACCGCTCTCACTTCTGGTTATGGCTGGGTGGCCGAATGATGACTCTCTCGGCATTCCAACGGGGAGGGCTCGATTCATTGAAAGCGCCGCCATGGTGTTGGTGAGCAGCCGGCTGCTGGGCGCAATTGGCTGCCTCGTGGTCAGCTAGGCATATGCCTCGAACGGCGCCTGTGCTAGCGTTATCAGAAGCAGGAACATGCAAGTCTCCCGCGGCCGTGCAGCAGAGGTTCGGGGGGTGGCGGCTGGGGGGAGGGGGGCGGGGGGAGGTTAGGGGTTGGGACGACGACGACGAGAGCGACGACGAAGACGGAAAAGTGGCTGAAACCTGGGCAATGGGTGGTGCGAGGCGCCATGGCCGTTTCGCACCAATGACGTCGTGGCGGGGGGGCCGATAACGATAAGAAACCTCCCTCACTCTTGCCAGGCCAGGTCAGGCGGCCCCTCGTGCTCACGCTCATGACACCAACACCACCGACACCGACACGGGCACGGGCACGGCACCACAGCCCGTCACGCACCCACACCCACACCCATGCCCATGCTGCAGCTAAGCCGGCGACTCGCAACTAGGCCCGTCGCCAGATGACCCAAGTCTGCACCCAGGATCGTCCCGCAACCGTCCCGCCCTTCTTCTGTACAGCACAGGTGCCACGTAGCAGCGCTGCAGGTACACCCAGAGCCAGCACACTGACGAGCAGGAGCCGCCACAGAACCATGGCCCGGCCATATAAGACTGGCGCGCACGCCCTGCGTGCCATGTCCAGACTGCCACTGTACACTCGCTTCCACAGCAGACTGCCGGCTGCAGCGACCCGGAAGATGAGTCGATCAGCTGGAACCCGACGTGTCATGTGGCCCAGTAAGCCACCCTTTACTAACTCGCGAATCACTCTCTTCGTCGCACACCACCACCCGCGCCCTGTGCTGATTGGAGCGCATTCCGTCGACTCGAGGTACCGTGAATGGGCCCTTTCTTGATTTGGCTCAAGGCCATGTGCTCGATTGGATTCTGGCCTCCATGTCGCCAGTACCATGCTCGTCTCCTCCCCGGCCAGACCCGTAGCACTCGTTCGTTGTCTCTGCATGATATCATAGTCTTCGCGCCCTCTTTCTTGCCTCGACATATCCCTTGCTGTGGCATACCGACCGCCTTTGTTCAGTCGGTTGGCGAGCTTCATCCATCTGCCTCATCCTCCACCACGCCTTGGCCCCCCGAGCCTCTTCTCATCTTCGGCATCCCCATGCATGCTGCTGTCTTGCTTCTTAGACCTTGACACTGGGCCCAGACACTGGTCGCACACGCACACAGCACTGGACGCTGCGTCGCCATGTGCTGGTCTTTCAACTTTGGCTTTCCTGCCAACAAGAAGCCCAAGTCCTCGTCGTCGTCTGGAGAGAAGAAGAAGCAGCGCGACGCCCCGGCCAAAGGCGCCCTTCGGGGCGATGGAAAGCCAATCACGAGGCAATTCTCAGAGAAGCGCAGCTCAAAAGGCTCTACCAGAACAAGAACGTCCAGAGACTCTGCCCAGTCTGCGCCGCCTTCTCCGCGCCGCGAAAAACAAAGAGACGGGCACCGTCCGCCATCGCACCGTCAGTACGAGGATGCCTATCGAAGACGCGAAAACTATCGCCCAGCTTTGAACCTACAAGTCCCACAAACATACCAACGCACCCTTGGGCCCGACAGCGTCAATTCATCCCAGGAGACGTTGTTGAACCCACGACCCCACCGAAGTCAGCACCATCGGCGGCGTCACACTACACAATCATCGCAAGGCACTCTGCGCGGGCGTGGAGCAAAGCGAGACCCTCCAAGGAACTCGAAATCAAAGAAGAGTATCCGCCCTGAGCCGTCTCATGCGTGGTCTTTCTTTACGCCTTCTCCGCCAAGGACTCCCAAGCGCGAACAACGCAGCTACCAAACGCTCGACTCAACACCGCGCAGTCATCGCTCGTCACGCCATCACAATTCCTCGACTACTTCTCAAGCGAGTCCAGAATCTTCGCGGTCTCAGACTCGCCATCATCGCTCTCGTCGCCACGACCACTCCTCGTCATCATCCTCCCGCCAGGCTCGCCCTCGCACACCCAATACAACTGCTCATCGTCTACCAGACCGACGCTTTGCCGTCCTGGCCGCAACAAACCAAGCCCTTGAAGAGGTCCGCCAGGAGGCTTTTGCGCAACCGTCTCCTCCACCAAGGCGTGAGAGGCTGCGTCGTTATGAAGGCGTCACTATACCCTCTTCTCAAATACCTTTCAGCTGGGATTGCGTGAGCACGTCACAGACCTCATCTGGACACAGTAACAATTACGGAGAGTCGAGTCGACGACCAAGACGTTCGCGTCGTTGATTTTCCTTGTTCACAGCATTGTAGACTCTGCTTTTTCCATGCATCGTTTCTTCTGCATTCATAGTAGGATACCCCCTGCACATATGCATACACTGGTGTTTTGGGCGTCACATTGCATTGCATTGCATTTTCGCTTCAAAGGTTCGGCTCTTTCTTTTTTGGTTGTTTTCTTCCCTCTCTCTCTTTCGGTGCTCAGTCAAATTTAATATCCCCATTTGGACATTACATAATCACATATCATTTTCTTGGATACTGCTTTTGGACAAGGACGTGAGCTATAGGATGAGTATACGCCCAAGTGAACATTTTGTTTTGATTGTTTTGTCAAAAGTGATTTCAATGTGCCGAGGCAACGGACTGAGCAACCTAGTAGGGTACATGGACATGGTACGTCTTGTTGTACACAAGAAACATATGCACAGGGCTATTGCATCCATATTGAATCGACGCTAGCCTCCTGAACATGTGCTCTACTATGGTGCCCCTTGATATTTCAGATGTGCAAACGCCCCCTACCCTTGACTTGTTACGCATACCCCTAATACCAATCCTGGCCTCTCCGCCCACGAGCTGCAGAAGAACTAGCATACATGCCCCTCTCAGCCGTCCGCATGCCCAATCTGCAAAGAGCGACAAGATGGTGCACTCCAGCCAGCACGCCATCCACCACTTGTACATCACCACCCACGGCTTTCTCCACGGCAGCCTTCATGTTCGTCATACCTGCACATCCCAGCGCGAGTACATCGGCACCATCTGCCACAAGCTTCATGCCAACACGACACATGATATCTAGCACCTCCTTCTCGGGCTTAGACTCCAGCTCTAAAACACCCAGGTTGCAGCTCCGTACTCCTGCACAGAAATCATCTAACCCGTAGCTTCTGACGGCCTCTGCCAAGGTGTATCCCGAGCGCTGCGACGTAGCAATGATGCCAAAGCGGCTGCCGAGCGTCCGGGCAGCATAGAGCGAGGCTTCCATGATGCCGACGACAGGCTGCGTCAATTCTTCCCTGAGCATTTTGACCAGTGCGTGGTCGCTGTAGCATGCGACAAGGAAAGCGCCGTAGTCATCTGCCATTGGGAGTATGGCGCGAGCTGCTGCTGCCGCAGACATGATGTTGTCGAAATTGCCTTCAATTGCTGATGGTGCGGGCTTGGGTGCTGTAAAGCCGTAGACGGTGACATCGGGTGGCAGAGTGAGTTTGAGCATTTTCAGGCAGGCGTGCGTCATAGAGGGCGTAGCATTGGGGTTGCAGAGGAGAATACGTAGTTGGCGGGACGAAGGGGGTCCAGACACACATTCCATACCGTTGGCTGGGGTTGCTAGTGGTAGATTGTGATGGTGAGAGCCTGGGTGGCTCAATCACGCCTGTTTGAGAAGTCAAAATACCATAATGTTCTACCCGTCGATGTCTAGCAAAGTCAAATGTTCGCCTCTTTCCTGGCAAGCACCGATCGAGATCACAATCTGCGATAATCACTTCGTCGTCTTCGGTCTTGCTCTCCACTATGATCTTTCCGTCGGGCCCGACAATAGTCGAGCCTCCTATGAGATCGTACTTTCCGTCGTCCAACCCACACCTTGCTGCGCTGACCGAAAAGCAAGAATTAGTGTACGAATGTGCTTGCATAACCAACTTGTGATGGAAGATTGCCTCAGCACGCGCTTCCTGGGGATTCGACTCGACAGACGTGCCCCACATATGCGGCGCAAATCCCGGTGTATTGAATCCTGTGAGAACTACCTCGACGCCTTGCAGACCAAGGCTTCTCCACGCCTCGGCCCAGCGCCGATCGTTGCAGATCAGCATGCCAAATATCGGCTCGCCTTGCGCCGACGGGCCTTCTGTCAGGTCTGGAACGCGAAACGCTTGAAAGCCCAGGTTTCCTGGCTTGAAATATCTCTTCTCTAATTGATTGACTGCATCGGGGTCTGCAAACGGCTCAACGTCTCCTGGTAGATGAACTTTGCGGTACTTGGACAGGATAGATCCAGACTTGGCATGGAAATAGACGCAGGAATTGTAATGGTCGCTCTGTTCTGTTGCTTCTGCAAAACCAATGCAAATGTCCACGTTTAGCTCTTTGGCCTTATCGAAGATTGCCCTGGTGTTTTTTGCGGTACATATGTCGCCATGCTCGAAAAAGGCATCGAGCTCTTGTCGATCGGTAAAGAGATGACGCGGGAAGAAGGTTGTAAATGCGCATTCTGGAAATAAAACCACTTGGGCGCGTTGTGAAGCCGCTTGCTCGAGCAATACAACAAGACGAGCAAGAGTGTCTTGGCGAGCGTCTCCGCGATGTACGGCGCCTACCTGCGCAGCAGCAATTCGGAGCGTGCGGGGCATTCTTTTCTTCGGTCAGTATGGGGCGGGGTAAACGCGACCAGGATGATTCGGGAGGGGAGAGAAAGCCTTCATCTTATGGCTTGATGAACCCAACATGCAGAAACTCTGTTTAGATGCTGAAAGTGGGGGGCTTATCGGAGATGGAATAGGTGGTGTGCTGGGCGAATTGGGAGTGGGCCATGACTAATATCAAAGTAAGAGTCCCAACCTCAAGCCTGACCATGACAAGCCAATCAAGTAGCAAAAGGGAAGACATACCTGACAGATATAGTGTGAGAAGAAGAGGTGAATACCAGCAACACTAGAGCCAAGTGCTGCGGCATTCCTGTAGCAGACAGAGTCTTGGCCTAGAATCCAACAGGTCAGCATGTGTTTGTTGTAACCTAGTAGTCTCTTGCCTGTCCACCATCTCAATCTTCTTCTCTGTCGTGGCTCTCTCTCTCTCGCTCTATCACACTCTACGCCTATTCTCAGCGTATACTGTGTTGTGTATTCAAGAACGGGTTTCGGCCCGATTCAACCAGTGTCAGCCTCGGGCTGGAGCGATGCCGACGACATCATCTTGGACGTGGTGGCGAGTCGGAGGTGCGGAGATTGCTGGAGCCTCAACCCATGGGTGCAAGACGGCCAATCATGGAGCATGGGGCTGGTGTGCTGTCAGAGTGAGAGTGTCGTGTCTTTGTGAGAAAGGCGGTGTCGCGACAGGAGTAGTACTAGCTAGTCTGTTTCCCCCTCTCCCCCCAGTGCCAGTGCGCAGCTTCAGCCGCGGCTAGCCCGTCGCGTCCCCGCCAGCCAACACATCACAGCTTGCCACCATCTCCATCTGCTCTCCACCCAACATCCCTCGCCCTTAATTGCGCCCGCAGCTCCTCGCAGCAGCGGCAGCGGATTCGACCTGCTACCGCTACTGTAACTCAGTACAGCTGTGGTGCTGACCCAGTCTAACCAATCACATCATGCCCTCCAACCACCATGGCCACGACTCTTCGCATAATGTCTCGCGCGTCCTCTACGACAACCACCGCAACAACCAGCGGGGCTCGGAATCTACCCCGCTGCTACGACGCGCCCTCCCTCACCAGATCCACCCCGATGGCGAAAGCGGCCGCCAGGGCTTCCATCTAGCCCACTTCCTCAACGTTGCATGGCGCTCTGGTAGCAATGCAGCCAAGTACACCAACTTGCTATGGCCCTTTGTCATTGTCGCCATTGTGCTGCACTTTGCTGCCCCAGGCTTGCCCATTGCCGTTTTTGCAACCAGCTACATTGCCATGGTCCCCGTGGCCAACCTCCTAGGCTTCGCGGGCCAGGAATTCGCTCGGAAAATGCCAAAGGTCTCTGGCATCCTGATTGAAACGGCGTTTGGATCCATTGTCGAAATCATCCTGTTCATCATCCTCATTGCCAAGCATAATTCTGGCGAGGGCTCGTCTGAACATGGGAACCTTGTGCCTGTTATTCAAGCTGCTATTTTGGGCTCGATTCTCACCAATCTGCTGCTTTGCCTCGGACTGTAGGTCTTTTATCCTCTCGAATTCAAGACGCGTACGTTGACGTTTGGCACAGCTGCTTCTTCGTCGGTGGGTTGCGGCAAACAAGCCAAACCTTCCATGCGGCCATTAGTGAAGTCGGCAGCGGCCTACTTCTTGTCGCCGGCTTTGGTCTTCTCATCCCCAGCGCATACTACTCTGCGCTCAAGGGCTCAGCCGTCGAAAAGGCATCAAAGCACCATGAGTTCACCGAGAAGATGCTACAGCACAACGTGCTCCGAGTCAGCCAAGTCACGTCGATTCTTCTCATCATCGCCTTTTGCATGTAAGATGCTTGTCCCGAAGCAAGGCCTCTTGATCAGCTCAAAACTCACATGACGGTAGCTTCATCTTCTACAACGCCCGCTCTCAGCATTCCATCTTCGACGAGGTGCTCGAAGCCGACGAGCACCGTGACCTCGACCACCACGAAGACGTGGCCAAACCCAAATTCACAATGACGGAATGCATTGTCGCGCTTGTCCTATCACTCGCTCTCGTCACGCTGCTCGCCGTCTTCCTTGTCGAGCGCATCGAAGATGTGGTTGAATCCGGTGTACCCGATCAATTCCTCGGCCTCATCCTTCTTCCGCTTGTGGAAAAGGCTGCCGAGCATTTGACTGCCATTGACGAAGCGTGGGACGGCCAGATTGTAAGTGTCGCACTTTGATGATTTGCTTTTTTTCTCTTTGGCCATGTCTGTACTAACAGAAAGCGATTGCAGAACTTTGCTCTCTTCCACTGCATTGGCCCCTCGATTCAAACGGCCCTCTTCAACGCACCGCTGGTTGTCATTGTTGGCTGGGCTCTCGACAAGAACATGGACCTCAACTTTGAAATCTTCATGGTTGTGCTGCTCGTCTTGTCCATTATTGTCGTGGGCAACTTCCTGCGTGATGGCGCGTCCAACTATCTTGAGGGTGCCATGTTGATTGTTAGTCTTCCCCGTCCCGTGCCTGTTTTTGCCCTGATTGGCCCACTAATAACGCTGTGCTCCTCGGAATTAGATTGTCTACGTCATTGTTGCAGTAGCCGCACGGTACTATCCCAATCCGGATGTTGCCACTTCCAATGGTACCTAATGGCCCAACGCTGCGTTACTGCTCGCGCCACACTTGCCCTCGACGACAATCTTGATAGGTTTGCAGGTGAATCATCATCGCAAAGGATAAGACATGATATCGATCCAACAATGATTGCCCGAATCCACAGCTCACCATATTGCTATGCAATTACGACAATTCAATGCCCATGTACATGCATAATTTTCAGCATTGAAATACAATCACAGTTGCAAAATACTCTCTGCTTTTGAATACTTTTTTTCCTTGATTTGATATAATGGCTTCTTATTTACATGGCGTGACGATGCTTTGCTCGACACTCGTCTCAATCATACTCGTTAATAATAATCAAACTAATGAGCCCCCGCCAGCTTGACCAGTTTAGGGAAGTCGGGCGTTCCGAAGCCGGTAATGGGGTCCCAACCTTCGGTGACAGGGAAACCCTGGACGTTGCAGCCATGGCTATATCCCTTGGTGATATCCGTAAGGCCCTTGTCGCCCTTCTTGTACAGCCAGGGGTTCAGGAAGCCAAGAACAGGCTTTCCACTTGCAAGCAGCGCGTCGTTGACGAGCGAAAAGATACCCGCGGTAAGGGGGCAAGACGCAGAAGTACCCGAAATGGCGCCCTCGGTGCCGTTCCAGAAGTAGGCAAAGTAGAGACCCTGGGCAGACAAATCGGGGTATCCGCGGCCCGTCGTGTTGTACAGACCATTGTAGAGGTTGCCGATGGACTTGAGGTACTTGGGCACAGCCTTCTCCTGGTACGAAGGGCGAGCAAAGTAGTTGCTGAAGCCACTGCCGCTGGCGTAGAGGTCAACGTGGCCGCTGGACGTGTTGCGTCCGGGGCGGAACACGGCTTCCTCAGGCTCAAAGTTCATGGTTGCGCCAACAGTCGTCACATATGGGCACGAAGCGGGGAACGCGGGCAGGAACATGGACGTGTTTTTTCCATCGTTAGAGAAGCACTTGTCTGTGCCGCCGAGACCGTGGTCACCGGAGGAGAAGAAGAGCGTAGTTCCTCGGGCTCCGACTTGGGCAAATTGACGGCATACACGCTCGGCGTAGGAGCGGGGAACCGTCTGCTCATCATCGCCATACGACGTGGAGATGATGCGGGGGATGGAGCGTTGGTTAAGCAGCCAGTTGACCCAGACCAGGTAGGGCTCGTTGGTGTTTGTTGGGGTGAGAAGATCAGGAATGAAGGGAGGGGAGCCACCAGTCGAGAACGAGGTAATGGGCGTCTTCCAGCTGATGCCAGAAATGGCTTGCACGTCCAGGTTGGCTTCGCGACTGGTGCCCTGGATGGACTGGTTGAGTGTCAATGGTCCGTCCTGCACAGCGCCGTTGTCGATAGAGTAAGCCTTGAAGCCGTAGGCCTGCGAAACGGCCTCGGGACGGTACTTTTGCAAGAACATTTTGGTATCTGGGCGAATAGGCACCTCGCCCAGGAAGTTGTTGAAGGCAATGCTGTTCTTGTCGCTGGCCTGGGTCTGGTACCACTTGGTCTTGTACAGATTTTGGAAGCACTCGGGTGTGACAGACGTCACGTTGCAGACGGCAGCGATGCTGGAGTCGGTGGGGGTCTTGTAGCCCGCAGGCACTTCAGCAGTCTCGTCAATGTAGGTGGCGGCGTTGGCCGCCCCACGGAAGAAGGACGTGGTGGGCTGGATGGTTTCAATGTGGTCGTGGAGATGGCGAGGCAGAGACCACGACGTGGTACGAGCGACGACGGAGCCGTCCTTGTGCCTGTAGTTGTGGTACTGGGTGTCGAGTAGGGTCTCGACCATGTCGATTGGCAGATGGACAATGACCCAGTCCTTGGCAGAGCTGTATCCCAGGTTCTCGGTGCTGACGCCGTTCTCACGAAGCCACTCGTGGACCAAGTCGTACGTCTCGGAGCTGGGAGCAACGAGCCTGTCGACCTCGTCGGCCGTCAGGTGCTGGCCGTAGCGAGCATGGTCAGGGTCAGAGACTAATCATGGACCATGTCAGCGGGGAGGCTGTAGACGCAAAGTGGGTTGTGGCAAGGCCATGCATACCTTGGTAAAGATGGCGATCGAGCTCGTCGAAGCGGCCCTGCTTGAGGCCAATCTGCAGCTGAATCGTCTTCGCACCGTGTGCACGACCAAGCCTGGTCCACTGGCGAGGTACATAGTGCGTCTCCTTGACCAGGTACGGGGAGCGAGCGTGGACTGGAGAGGCCAGCGCCTCACGCGCGGCCAGGGCAGTCAAGAGGACAGAGGCGAGCATGTGCATGGCGGGCGAGCTTGACGAAGGCGTGTGTCGAGGGCAGACAAGCAAGACGCGCATGCCCAGCATGGGGAGCAGTCTTGCGGGCTATTTAAGCTCTGGCAAGAAGCGACTAGAGGCACGCCATGGAGCGAACATGTGGGCCGCAAGCACATGGTGGCAGCGGACATTGCGTCCATGGTGGTGGTTTGATGTAGGATAGGCTCGGTGACGATGGGGCCGGGCATGGGACGAATTGGGCAGGCCTGTTGGGCTGGTGGGAGTGATTCGTTGGCGACGTCGGGACAGACGGTGATAACAGCGAGAATCAGGCATGGGCAGACGAGGCGCCATGGTAGGCATGCGCATGAGGCCGTTTCCTAGCCCCGCAGGCTGGGGCGCTAGTGCCCAAAGGGGAAGCTGTGAAGAGGCGCTGTGGCCAGGCGGTGATAAACAAGCACGTCAAGCCACTAGGCGGTGGGCCCGCGAGCGGCTCTTGGGGTGCTTGACTTGCTCTTGGAAGGTGAATGTGCCGTGGCGTCGTGGCCATGCTCTCGTGCGGCCCGTTCGGCCAGCTTCACACAGCGCTTGAGTCGGGCGGCGGCGCTTTTCAGTGTCTTGCTCGCAGCCCTCGACTCGACTGGCTGGCCGTGGGCCTACGCTCAGTCCAGCGAGCCATTTCGGCGGCCTCGATCCGTATGATACTATAGGCGTGTTAATATTCAGACGCCGCCACTAAGCAAATGGTTTATGTACGACAGTGCATTCGTGTATACATGTACTTGGACGACCTCCAGCTTACAGCGACTAGGCTGCTTGAGGGAGGTGTTTGTCAGCGTGTCGCCTCCCCCTTACAAGATGCTTATAGTAGTGCGTCGTAGTTACAGTCTAGTACTAGCAGACGTCAGCATGTAGTTCTCACCCTGCAGCAGCTTACCTCATCGCCCATGGCATTGGCATTGGCAGTGGCATTGGCATTGGCATCGGCATGCCAGCGACGCCCTCCCCCGCCACTAGCCTCTTTGGGCACACGGACACACGTTTGCCCGTGGCCCTGCGCCTGCAGACCACGTGACCTGTCCACGGCAGTCAGCATCACCCTCTTCAGCATCGCCATCATCATCGTCATCAGCAGCAGCAGCAGCAGCAGCAAAACAGCCACACCACACCACTCAGCGCAAACGGCACCCAGCACCTTGTTGAAATCATTAATTAAAAAAATCAGGTGGCCCCCAGTATTTGCTCTTAAACGCACTCGTCGCCTGGCAATCAAAACAACCCGTACTCCAAAGCCCGACATGCTCTGCACAGAACATGGCGGCGCAACAAGAAACATACTCGCCACCCCACATGCGCTGCTTCCTGCTACATGCACATGTGTGTGTGTCTATGTGCGTGTGTATGCTCGCCTTCCACCCCACAAACTAACCCCCCCCCCTGCACGGCACATGGCTGCACTCACATAATCAGTCATGCCCACCTAACAGTTGCAGCCTGCAGGGCCCTGTGTCTGGTTGGCTTCCGGCCTCAGGTTGACGCCCGGTCGTTGCTGGCCTGGCCTCAGGTTTCGCGGGCCCGCCTGGTCAATGGGCAGCTTCTTGGCAATGGCTGTGAAGAGTTCCTTGACATTCTCGCTCGTCTTGGCCGACGTCTCGAAGAAGAGCAGCCCGGCTTCGCGGGCGTATTGCTCAGCATCAGCCGTCGAAATGGCGCGCTTGTCGGGCGATTCCGTCACGAGATCCAGCTTGTTTCCTGCAAGCGCAATGATGATGTTCTCGTTGGCTTGGCGTTGCAGCTCCTTGACCCACGCCTTTGCCTTGTCCAGCGACGCCTGCCCAACGTCAGTTGCCACTCCATCATGGCGGCGTCGCCCACACAATACGTACCGCCTGTGTGATGTCGTAGACGACTACGGCGCAGTTTGCATTGCGGTAGTACATGGGGGCAAGCGACTTGTAGCGCTCCTGGCCTGCCGTATCCCAGATCTCAAACTTGACCGTTGTGTTCTCATCCAGGGCGATGGTCTGGGTAAGGAAGGCGGCGCCAATCGTCGACTCCCGGTAATCATCGAATTGGTCCTGCCATGGTCAGCTTGGCGGGCCTGGTGCAGGGGGCAGCCGTGCGTGCTCACTTTGACAAAGCGCAATACTAGAGACGACTGGGGGCAGGTTAGCTCAGATACTTTGGTCATGGCGGGCATGGCGGGCTGGCGCACCTTTCCCACGGCGGATTCACCTGCAACGCTGTCAGTCCGAGTGAGACGTACAAAAAGACGGCCCTACGTACCCAGCAGCACGAGCTTGAACTGCGCGAACCTGGAGCCTCCGGGCCGCTGGCCCTGCTGCATCCTGCCTGCCGACATGTTGGCAAGTGACGCGGCGCTATCGGGATATGCCTGTACGGGCGGCAGAGGCGATGGCAACAAGGGGAGGGCAGGCGGGCGGACGTGTTGGGGCTGTCAGGTCGGCAAGCGGCGGCAAGCGGAGGAAGAGGGGCGAGGAGACGAGTGCAGCCGCGGGCGTGGGTGTGTTGGTAGTGGTGGCAGTGGTGGAGGTGGAGGTGGTGGTGATGGTGGTGAGGGTGAAAGAGGTGGCTGCTGCTGCTGCTGTGACGAGGTGCCTGCGTCCGGGTGCCAGGTGCTTGGCCTGAGCGCACGAGTCGGGAGTCGGGACCCTGGCGCCGCAGTGGCCGCCATGACGAAACGCTGGCCTCCATGTCGACAAAACCAAAACGGTCAATCCGTAGAGAACACATAGCGCCGAACGGCCCATAACCTCACCACCGCCACCGCCACCACCACCACCACCACCACCACTACAACCACCACTGCCACCACTGCCAACACACCCACGCCCACGCCCCGAGCCTGCCCTTGAGCGTACGCACCCCCCCGGCCCCTGCCGCATCCGCCCGCGGGAGCTCTCCCCGACGCACCGCACCGCACCGCACCATGAGCGTCGCCCTGCCGTACCGCGACATCAATGTCCACTCGTCGCCCTCGCACTACGCCTTCTCGTCGCCCTCGTCGCCCTCGGCCCCCACGCTCGTCGTCGACCGGCCCTCGGGCGACATCCGCCTGCACGATGGCAAGCTGCTGGGCTCCAAGCGCGTCTCGAGCATTGCAGGCATCCTGGGCATCATCAAGCTGCGACTAGGTATGCGCTCCTGGCCCCGGATGGGCGACACGCCCATGCTGATCCACTCGCCCCGCCAGACAAGTACATCATCGTCATCACAAAGGCCCAGCCCGTGGGCAGGATAAAGGGCCACATGGTCTACCGCATTGTCGCGACCGAGTTCCTCTCCCTGCGCGAGAAGCCCCTGCACGACCCCGACGAGGACAACTATCTCAGCCTGCTCAAGACGCTCCTCAAGACGTCGCCGCTGTACTTTTCCTACTCGTTCGACATCACCAACACGTTCCAGCGCCAGGCCCACATCGACCCCTCGACGCCCCTGTGGAAGCGCGCCGACGACCGCTTCTACTGGAACCGCTTCGTCTCGAGCGACCTGATTGACTTTCGCGGCGGCCTGAGCGGCGGATATGGAAGGCACTCGGCCGGCCACCAGCCTGGCGCAGACCCGTACATTCTGCCCATCATGTACGGCATGCTCGAGATCAAGAGCACGTCCATCAAGGGCACGCCGCTCACCTTCATCCTCATCACGCGCCGCTCGCGCCTCAAGGCCGGCACAAGATACTTTTCGCGCGGCATCGACGAGAACGGCAACGTGTCCAACTTCAACGAGACGGAGCAGATCATCATCCTCAACGACAATGCGTCAGGGGGCCCCGGCGGCTTCGGCTCGAGCCAGAATGGGACGGCGGGCGGCAATGCGGGCAAGGAAACGCAGGTTCTTGCATACGTGCAGACGAGAGGAAGCGTGCCTGTGTACTGGGCCGAAATCAACACGCTCAAGTACACGCCCAAGCTGCAGGTGCGTGGAGTGGAGAGCGCTCTGCCGGCTGCAAAGAAGCATTTCGCCGAGCAGATCCGACTGTACGGCGACAACTGGATGGTCAACCTGGTGAACCAAAAGGGCCGCGAGCAGCGGGTCAAGGAGGCGTACGAGCAGATGGTTGAAATGCTGCAGACATCGCCTGCGGAGAAGGTCGAGGGCGACCGGGTGACGTCTGAGAAGTTCCACATCATCGACCCGGCGCAGAAGCAGACATTGTACGACCGGCTGCACTACGTCTACTTTGACTTTCACAGCGAAACCAAGGGCCTGCGATGGGACCGGGCCAAGCTGCTCCTCAACACACTGGAGCCGCACATTGTCAAGCACGGCTACTTTTGCGGCGTCGACATGCCTGGCGATGCGGGGGGTGTCGAGGTGCGGCGGCACCAGACGGCCGTGGTGCGCACCAATTGCATGGACTGCCTGGACCGGACCAACGTGGTGCAAAGCATGCTGGGGCGCTTTGTGCTGTCACGCATGCTGATTGACCTGGGGCTGATGAGCCAAGGCGAGAGCGCCGAAGAAGACGCAGCGTTTGAGCACCTGTTCCGCAACATCTGGGCCGACAATGCAGACGTCGTGTCCAAGTCGTACTCGGGCACTGGGGCGCTGAAGACGGACTTTACGCGCCTGGGGGTGCGGACCAAGCAGGGCGCGCTGCAGGACTTGAACAACTCGATTACGCGATACTGCCTGAACAACTTTGCCGATGGGCCGCGGCAAGACGCTTTCGACTTGTTCCTGGGCAATCACCTCCCCAGCGACTCGTCTGGCATGGGCAGCCAGCTCTTGTTTGCCGATCGGCGGCCGCTGTTCATCCAGTCGATTCCGTACATCCTGGCGGCGAGCATCTTCCTGTTCCTCGTGGGGACGTTTACGCGACGGGCGCCTGACGCAGCCGTGTGGCCTTTGCGGCTTCTTCTGTTACTCTCGGTGGTGACGGCGGGCGTGTGCTTTAGCTTCATCTGGGGCCACGGGACGCTTTATGTAAGTCTTGTTGTTGTTGTTGTTATTGTTGTTGTTGTTGTTGATTGTTGGGCTTTTGGTAGTAATCGTGTGTCGTTGCAGCTGCTAACTCGCGTCTTCAGGTCAACTGGCCCAAACTCAACCGGCAACCGCCGCAGATTGAAGCGTACCAGGATACCCTGTCCAAGGTGTCGCAGCATAGCGTGGTGGGGCCACTGGTGGGCACAAAGCACGAGAGGGGAAAGAGCGATGCGCGGTTGTTGGGACTGGAAGAGGGCAAGAAGAGGATTGAGTAGATGTTGGTAGAGGGTAGAAATATTCTTGGTGGGTTTCAATTCTTTTCTTTTCTTCTTCTTTTTCTTCCTCCTCTTCTTCTTCTCCTGGCTTCCTAATTTCTTGTATTCTAGTGGAAGGGCTATGGGTAGACGGATAGGTGGCGAGGGTGTTTTAAAGCATGGGAGAGAAGCAACCAAGAGACTGGGGAATAGTCTACTTCTAGTCAGTCCTCTTTAATTGTACATGGGAACATGGGCTGTGCTAGACCACCACCACTATCCGTACCAGTCTATTTCCGTGCTACTCTATTGAGAGCATGAAATTCCCGAAGAGACACTTTGCACGTTGCATGCGGAGAAGAAGAATTTCTAGGCCAAGAAGCACCAGTTTGCCTTGTCCAATAAACTTTTGCTTTGGTCTTGGTCTACACCAACTTGAGACTTTGATACAGGTAGTGACAGTAGGAAATCATGGGTATCCTCGATATACTGGGGCCTCGACAAAAGCTCACAGGCCAGATGGAATCGTAAAGGGAAAATACAATTAGAACAGAAGAAGTAAAAAAGGTCGTATCCGCATATCCCGCCCTTGATGCATTCACCGTTGATTAATTACTTCATAAGCAAGGCGCTAGGCCTTGGTGGTGCTTGTTCAGCAACTCGCCCGCACAGCAGACAAGACAACGACGTCGAATTCCTCGTCCAGCCTCTCGTCGCTCTGGCACGAAGATTTGTGCAGATCCTTGATGGGGTCGCCGCATCGAGCGCCGATAAAGTGCCAGCCGTCGCCCTCGAGGCGGGCACGCAGACGCTCGAGATTGGATTTGGCGGCGCGGTGGAGGTAGATGGACCACTGCTTTTCGTTTGCGCGTGGAGATTGGTGGCGCTCGGGGGTTGGCGGGGAAGAGGCAGCTGGCCGTGAGGGTGGCTGTGAGGCATCGAGGTCCGTGTCCGAGTCGTCGGCTTCCCAGTCGTCGAGTTCGGGCAGGATCCAGAGTTCGGATTCAGTCGAGTCGTCGCATGGAGAGCGGAAATTGAGGCAGACGCTCTGGTGGATGTCCATGTGTGGAGCGTGGCCGGGCCGAGTGCGTCGGGCGAGGTAGGGCAGCCAGGTCGGGGCGGCGTTGTTGCGGATTAGGATGTTTTGGGGGCGGTAGAGATGGAAGTCGGCTGGGAGCGCGGGCTTGGGCCTGGCTGGTGTTTTTGAGGGCGAGTGCGGCGAGGGGGCACGCGATGGTTGGGACGGCATGGCTGCTGCGCATGACGGGAAACTGCCGTATATGGCATGACTAAGGTCGTAGCGGAACTGAGCGTCGCCGTCACGCGCCTGAGCGCTGCGGTTCGGGCCGCCGTCCATGTGTGGAGGGCGTGCGTGTGTCTATGTGCAACGAGGAGATTTTTTGTTGCGCAAGTGCAAGTGCAAGCGCAGGTGGGTGCAAATGCAGACACGCAGCAGGTGAGCTGGCGCCGGGTCTTTGTGTAAGCGGGCGCGGTGGAACAGTGGCAAGGCCAGGCGTAGGCGAGCAAAGCCACGCGCAGAAATTTCCAGAGTAGCAGACGGGCGAAGTGGGTCTTTGGGTGCTGCGTCCAGACAAGGTGAGAGCCGGGCGAGTGAAGGGCGTGCTGTCTGTCTCTCTCTCTCGGTGCGTATACTGTATGTGTGCTGCCTGCTGGCTTGTCATGGGCGTGGTGGGATGACGTTGCACGAGGGTGGCCAGCGAGGGCCGCGCTCACTCGCTGTGTTTCACGCTGGGGGCGGCCATGTGTGGCGGGAGCGTGGTGCCAGCATCGGGTGGAGTGTGTAGCCGTAGCAGCGGCAGCATGTCGTTGCAGTGGTTCGTCGTGGTGCGTGTGGGTGTGGGCGAGCATGGCCATGGTGTGGGCGAGGGCGGCGGCGGCGGTCCGTGCGCCCTGACGTGTGCGGGTGAGTGTGTGTGCAGCTCCAAATCTTCATGTTGGCACTGGCTTAGGCTGAGACCACCACCAGCCCCGTTTCCCTCCCCCTCCCCCCCTCCGCCCATCCCCATCCGCGCCATCTGGAGGCAGCCCACCATGCTGCGTGCCTCCATTCTACGGGCCCGTCCAGCTGCCAGGCCATTGGCCCGCCACGCCCGCCCACAATGGCTCGCCGCCCGCCGCCTGTATGCCGACGATAAGAAGAGCCTGGGCGAGACGGCCGTCCCCAACCCGCCGCCCGCGACGGACGCTTCGGTGAGTCCATCGCCCGCCTCGCCCGTCGAGCAGGCCACCATCGCGCCCTCGGACGTCCCCAGGGCCCCGCCCGCCCCCGACAGCGCCGTCGTTGCTGGCGCATCGCGTGATGCTCCCACGACGGCGCCCGCGACCACCCCCCCGACGGGCACCGGTGCCTCGAGCGTCGCCCCCGACCCCGTCCAGCCAAAGCCCAGGAAGAAGAAGCGCACCCTCCGCAAGCTCCTCGTCCGCCTCGCCATCCTGACCGGCCTGGGCTACGCCGGCGGCGTGTGGTACTCGCTCGTCTCGGACAACTTCCACGACTTCTTCACCGAGTACGTGCCCTACGGCGAGGACGCCGTCGCCTACTTTGAGGAGCGCGAGTTCCGCAGGCGCTTCCCCGGCCGTGCTGGCGACCCCCGGCTGCACCCCCAGATCTCTGGAGAGAACAAGGTCACCATCCCTGGACGGAGCGGCCTGACGGCCCGCACCGTCAAGGAGAACAGCAGCGACCTCGGCGGCCAGGGCCCGCATCTGAGTGCTGTCGCTGACAACAACAAGGCGGCCACGGCCGAGTCGAGCGGGCTGCCGCCCAAGGTCTCGTCGGAAGAGAAGAAGGCTGCCCCGAAACAGACGTCGTCAAAGACCATTGCCCCGCTCGACCACCTCAGCGTGCCCTCTGCCACGGAGCCCGTCGTCCAGGATGTCGTCAAGATTGTCAACGACATCATCACCGTCATCAATGCAGACGAGGCCAGCGGCGGAAAGTACAGCTCGACCCTCGACAAGGCCAAGGGCGACCTTGGCAAGGTGATTGCTGACATCAACATGATGAAGGAGTCGCTGGAGAAGCAGGCCGAGAACAAGATCAAGGCCGCCCACGCCGAATTCGACGAGGCCGCCAAGGAGCTCGTCAAGCGTCTCGACCACCAACTGCAGGCCCAGGAGACTCAGTTCAAGGAAGAGTTTGAGAATGAGCGCGAACGCTTGTCACATGGCTACAAGGAGCGGCTCCAGTCGGAGCTGCAGGTTGCCCAGAAGGTGTACGAGCAGAAGCTCAAGAACCAGCTCCTCGAGCAGAGCATCAGCATGCAAAAGGCCTTTACAGCCACGGTCCAGGAGCGCGTCGAGGCTGAACGCCAGGGTCGTCTTGGCAAGCTCAACGAGCTTTCGTTGTCTGTGCACGAGCTCGAGAAGCTGACGGCCGAGTGGAACAGCGTCATCGAGGCCAACCTGAAGACGCAGCACTTGGTGGTTGCCGTCGAGGCGGTGAGGTCTGCCCTGGAGAACCAGACCATCCCCAAGCCCTTTGTCACCGAGCTGGCTGCTCTCAAGGAAATTGCCGACGACGACCCCGTTGTCAGCGCCGCCATTGCCAGCATCAACCCCGCCGCCTACCAGCGCGGTATTCCCAGCCCAGCTCTCCTCATTGACCGCTTCCGCCGTGTTGCTGCCGAAGTCCGGAAAGCGGCTCTGCTTCCCGAAGACGCTGGTGTCGCCTCGCACCTTGCTTCTCTCGCAATGTCCAAGGTTCTGTTCAAGAAGTCTGGTCTCGCAGTCGGTGGTGACGTCGAAGCTACTCTCGCACGAACAGAAGTGCTGCTCGAAGAGGGTGACCTGGATGCCGCAGCACGAGAAATGAACAGTCTGCAAGGATGGGCCAAGGTACTAAGCAAAGACTGGCTGACCGAGTGCCGGAGAGTGCTCGAGGTCAGGCAGGCGCTAGATGTCATTGCGACCGAGGCCCGCTTGAACAGCCTGCTGATTGACTAGAGTCTATATTTCCCAAATGCGCTTGATGTGTGTATCCCCTAGATTTGTCCATAGACTAGGCCATGTCGGCTTGTACCTTTTCCTTTAGTCGACATGGCCAGTGCTGTAGCCTGTACCAGTAGCTTAAAGAAACTTATTCCATGTTCACCCGGGCTCTCTTCTATGGCTGTTAGGTCGGTAGAGCATTCCAGGTCACGTTGCGAGTATTTGTCGTTGGGAATCATCAAGTTTTGTTTGAAGGTTCATGGACGTGGTTGGTCATGGTTCAAGTGTGATCAAGGTGGCAGCCATATCGAACATTACGATATATCATTCACAAAGAAGAAAAGGCAGCGACCAGAGTACTACGAATACAAAGACAGAATCAACCCTTCAAGCATATCCGGCACCCACAATCCATGTCGCATCATCAGTAAACGACTTTGCCGCATCGAACGTCTGCACGCCGCCGTTACTTGCCACGTAGCCTACGTTGTTGTAATGGCGAATGAAGCGGGTCGGGTAGCCCCAGGCGCGGATCGAATTACCCTGGCCCGTGAAACCGGCTTGAGGGCAGAAGGTGGCGTCCTCGCTGAAGGCCTTGGACCCGTCGTTTGCTTGCATCAGCAGCGCAAAGTTGTAGTGGCGGATGAAGCTGCCGGCGGTGTCTTTGGACTCGAACGAAACACAAGCGCTGTTGGCCAGACCAGCGCGCACCACCCACGTAGCCTGGCGCTTGAGCAGCGTGGTGCTGCTCGACGAGACAACCTGCGTGTTCACCGTCGAGCCCGTGTGCGCAAGAGACCGATCCGTGTACCCTGGTGTTGTTGCTTTCAGCGAAACACTCGATCCCACCGTCAGGGCTGGCCCGCTCGTCATGGCCCCAGCGGCATACTTGGCCGCCACCACGTTGGCTTGGACGGCGTTTTCCGTGCCATCGCTGGGGTACCCGCTTGTCATGCAGCCCTCGTAAAAGGTGCCCTGGGCGCCGACGCTGTTGTCGCCGCCGATACCGAGGATGATGGCGCCCTCCTTGTGCATGGGGTTGTAGCCACTTGCGTCGGGCCGCGCGCCACTGTAAAACGTGGATAGACTGCCCGAGCGGGCATCGCCGCCGCGGATAGCCCACTGGTTCGGACCGCCCTTGATCATGGCGTTCAGGAAGCGCGACGAGACGGTGGCATCGGCCGGGTTGTTCTTGGGGTTGGCTCCTGAGAAGAGCCCGTTTTCCAGATCCGCCATGATCCATGGGCCGTTGCCCGATCCCGAGCCCCATACCTTGTTGTTACCAAAGTAAATGGCTTCCATGTGCCCGTTGCCTAAGCCGCCATGGTTAGTCACTTGTGTGCTGCCACACGCATTCGCTTCCTACAGTACATACCAGTGTCGTGGCTGTTGGTCTCGGCGTTGCCGTAGTCAAAGCAGCAGCCATCGTTGTAGTGAGTTCCATCGAGGATGGCGTACATGCCCTCTGCCTGGTCGCCCGTCGCCGAGCCGCTTACTTGGTTGTTGCGGTATCCCGTCCCGGGCGAGATGAAAACACCATATGCCTTCTGCCCGTTGAGAGTAACGGGCGCTCCCGTTGCACTGGCCAAGTTGTCGTACCCATTGGCTTCCGGCCCATTGAAGCCTCCTGGCGGTGCTTGCGTGAGATGGTTTCCTCGGCCAGACTGGTCATAGATGATAGTAATCAGACATGTTGTTGAGGCGCAGAACTTGTCCTGGGCAGCTGCGTTGGCAACGCCGCCTGCTGACAGAGGCTCAATGTCGGTTGTTGCGCCGTCGGATCCACGCGAGACTTGGTACAGCGAACCGCTGTAGGCATTATACAAAGCACGCGTAGTGCTGTGCGCTGCAATACATGGTGTGTTGCCACTGGCGTAAATGTCACAAGGACCTGCACTGACGAGGGCGCCGGTGGCTGTCAGGCCAAGTGCAAGAAGGCTGGATCGAGAAGTCATAATTCGATATACCTAAAGTATATGAACGAAAAAAAAGAGAGGAAGCAAAAAGCAATTCGTCGTCGCTTGACACTTTCACGAGGTACACCTGGGGCTATTTATTTCTCAAGACCCTCCATCTCTTGGTTCTCCGTCTCTCTACCTCCTGACACGGCGGCCACAATCTGTCCGTTGGAATAGTGTCACAAGGCCCTATATCCGTATGCTAGTATAACAGCGATGCTATTTCTCCTCCAACAATAGCAATATCCGAGCCCACCATCAACACTAACATGTCATATAGCTAGTACGATTGACATGTGTCGTACGTGGGTCCCATACAGGCGTTGCGGGGGGGCAGAGAGGGGCTTCCTCCATAGCAGTAGCGCCGGAAAAAATAAGCCTTGCCGAGGCACAATGAGTACAGAACAAGAATGAATAGCTCGAAGCTTGGGTGATGGGCCTGGTCTAGCTGCCATGACCGTTTGTATTCCAGGCCTCCAATCAACGCATCATGTTCGCATACCCCGGCGACGGTAAATGAACAAGCAGCCAATCACATGCTTCATTCTCACGGTTCAAAGATTGCCCTAAATTGCAGGCTCCAAACTGCATTGACCGTAGTCGGCAAGTGGGTAAAATGGGACAACAAAGTCATACTTGTTATTCGTGGCCAATATTACGAGTTACCATTTAGGCCATGTCCAACTCGACCAATTTTACCGGCCACCACCCAACTCGCCACGCTTTTGGACAGAGCAAAGAACTATTGTTTGAAACCCCCCCCAAAAAAAGGCATGACGAAAGCCATGTTATCTAGCTTGCTCAGGGAGCCCCAAACGTCCGAGACATCCGGTAACAAACACACACTTCTGAAGCTATGCGCAGCATTCAACTTGCAATGCGGACGTGAATGCCGGCGATACGAGAGCCGCATGTGACACGCCATGATGCAGGCAACATGACACCCTTGTCCCAAAGAAGAAGTTCAGAATGGCAACGCTACGGGACCTGCTGGATGTGATGACGAAACCGTGCCTAAGCAAAGCGCACTTGGCCACTTCGGGATGTGGTCCCCTGAGTTGCTGGCCTCTAGTACATACTGTGAGTAGTTTCTCTAGTCACGTGACAGTGTTCAACCGAAGTCCTGCCGGCACATGCATCCTTCCCTACCACTGCCGCACTGCGAACCAAAGCCTTGGTTGAGTGCGCAAGAATACGCTGCCAAAAATATCTTCCTGGCCGAACTCCATTGCCCATTGTTCAAGGCATTGGAAAGAGCCGCGTCATCTCCCAATAGTGTGGCGCATCCGCTGTCTAGTACTGTAGGTGGTCAGTGCTTGCAACTGTTCAGCGGATGCAACACCCTACTAAAATTAGTGCTCCACTAAAGATAAGGCTATAGAGCCCTATACAAAAGCTATTATTATAAGATTTTCTAGTAAAGTATTAAGTAAGTAGTAATATATAGACTGGCGAATGGGTATAGGGTTCCCAAGATAGGTATAGAGTAGGGTAGGGTCGCACAGACGTAGACTGGCAAATGGGTCTCCACCTCGGGATCTCTTTTTCCACCATAGCTCTCTCCGTACTAGACCGAATTAGGCAACTAATAGCTTATTTTATAGCCCTAATTTAGGTCTACAACTAACGAATAGAAAGTAACACGCTAGCTAGACTAGGTAAAAAGTTATTAGCCTACCTACCTTGCTAAGACTTGGGTCTCCACATGCTAGCCTGAAGAGGTATAACTTCTTACCTACTCTAGCTAGCGTACTTCTTAATATTAGTTAGTTATAGATTCATATTAGGGCTTGAAAATAAGCTATTAGTTGCCTAATCAGGTCTAATACGGAGAGAGCTATGGTGGAAAAAGAGATCCCGAGATGGAGACCCATTTGCCAGTCTAGGTAGGGATAGGGTTAGGTCGCATAGACCTGAGGTAGAGGTAGAGTTAGGTTACATAAACTATAGGTAAAGGTAGGGTTAAGTAGACTATAGCGTAGGTAGGGGTAGAGTTAGGTTGTATAGATGCTAGGTAAAGATAAGGTTAGGTTGCATTATTTATAGACTGGCGAATGGGTATGGGGTTCCCGTGATGGGTATAGAGTAGGGTAGGGTCGCACAGACGTTGGGTAGGGATAGGGTTAGGTCGCACGGACCTAGGGTAGGGGTAGGGTTAAGTCGCACAGACTATAGGTAAAGGTAGGGTTAAGTAGACCGTAGCGTGGGTAGGGGTAAGGTTAGGTCGCACAGATGTTAGGTAGAGATAAGGGCAGGTTGCACTATCTATAGGTGTACTTAGGTATAGGGTACCTATACTAGGTATAGAGTACCTACGCAGGGAAATTATATAATAATAAGCAATTTATTAATTGTAAGAGGCTACGCCTAAAGTGTGTGTGTGATCGAGTATATCTATACGACTACCTAGACTTCAAGAAGCTTGAAGTCTTGTTACTGCCTTTTTGGCAATGGATGGCGTAAGTAGTCGTACGCTCGGCCCGTTGGGCCCGCCCATTACATTAATTACATCTAGTTATTATAGATAGGTAGGGCGCGTTATAGAATAATATAGGCATTAGAAATAAATAAGATAATATTTATCACGACTTGTTATCACGGTACTAAGCTAGTCTTCTACACTTCCATGGTAGGAGCGGTAGCTCTTCTACACTAGCTTTATCCTTAGCTTTATCTAAAATACTTTAATCCTTATTATTATATTTAGTATTTGCTAGAAGCTTAAATATATCGCTGCACTTATTACCTAGTTCCCTACTATCTTCCACCTCTATATTAAGAGAACTTCTATCTATTCCTTGCTTAATTGATGACCTATAAATTATAACTTTTTAAATCTTTTGCATAGAAAGGTGATGCTAGTAGGTGGTAATAAAATCCTTTACAATATTAAAAACCCGCTCTACACCTACTTAGGCAATTAGTACTGCTAAAATGTCCTTAGCAACTTAAGAAAGGCAGAGATACAAGCTGTTGCTAGCCTTCTACTAACTTAGTAGATTAAAAGATTTATCTAGTAGTACGCAAGCACTACTAAGATACTGTAACAGGCTAGGTAGCCCGCTACAGTACAGATAGCGGTGGCTATCTTATGTATCAACTACGCAACGATATCAGCAGCTCTGATATCTTGTGCCAGCCTTTTTGGCGCGGTGGGCGCGTTGTAGTTGCGTGCGCAGTCTAATAGGACTCGACCCGTTACAGATATGCCTCTCTCTCCTGATATGTCAGCTCTTAAATCTCTTTAACCTCTTAAATAGAAGATTAGCTTAAGCTTAATAATCTACCTAATTAAGAATAGGTTAAAGTTGGCTTTTAAAACCACTCGTTGCTTTACAACCTCTATAGACTTAGCTCTAGCAAAGAAGAGCTAATATAGCTTTTACTATCATAGCAATTTAGGTAATTAAGAAACTATTAGTAATATATGTGCTTATCTTAGTTGTCTCATATGTTATCCTAGATAGGTTATTAGAAATATATCATAATAATTCACTCTAATAAATATACCTCATACGCTATTAGCTTTTGTGTTAAATTAAGAATTATCACGCAATTAAACAAAAAACCCCGCTTGCTGTTAGTTTTTAAGTAGTATTTTGTAACGGGCTGAACGCCCTTTGGATAGCTCCTCGATGGAATCTCGGGCCAAGCTGCGCGCGCACCATCTGAACTACGTTCAGACCGAGCAGCGCTCAGACAACGCGCTCAGATACTCCGGCATAACCTTTCTCTGATAAGTAAATAAACACCACGTAAGCAGAGTAGATAGCTCCTTATCGAATACAACCTCTTGTATACCTCGCGATTGCTCCCTAGAGCGCAGCCCCTTATATTTTGTATTTGATCCCAATTAGACATAAGCCTTAGGCAGACTGTCTTCTAACTAAGTTTTAGAGCGTGTTGTTAGTGCGAGCTAGTAACACAGAGTTGGTGCTGCAATAGGTACGAAAGGCCTTTAGTGCAGCGAGAAGGTAGACCGTCGCAAGACAGTACACCTAGGGCAGAGCTTCGCAGGAAGTTCAGCCGTGAGAGACAGTAGGCGATTTAGTCGCCCAGGACCTGTCTAGGAAGTCCTACCGTGTCTTGGAAAGCCGAGCCGTAGGCGCAACGTCGCGTGATAAACTACCTAAAGGCCACTCGGGCCTAGCGTACAGTTAGCTAGAAGCGGACGTTGTAGTAAGAAGTCCTGTCGATCCTCTATCGGACGGGGTGCAGGCCGTGCGATTACTCTCAATCAGAGACGAGATCCCACAAGCGAGACGGCAAGACGCGAGTCTTCCTAGGGACGCGACACGACAGTAGCCAAACGCTGTTTAGAACCGGCTAGAAGAGAAGTACAGCCGAAGGTAAGCCCTACTAGTCCTGACCGACGAGGAGTAGGCCGCAGTCAAGGACTGCGCAAGCGGATCGAAGAGCGACCAGAAGCCCTGCATATTAGCAGGCAAAGAACGAGACGTCCAAAACGAATTAGGCAATGGAGATTAACGTTCCAAACTTGAATGTGGAAGAGCTGGCGGCGTACGCTGCTGCCAAGAACTAGGCAGGAGTATTAGATGAAGAGATCCTGCGCGAAATTACACAAATGCTTAGAGAGGACGGATGGAAGGAGGTAGCAATTAGGCCAACGATTGAAGCGGTCGCCAAACGATCGGCCGTCGTGGGAGGAAAGGGCTCACCAAGGCAAGGAGGCTCGCCGAAGGCCAACCAGGATGCCATGGCCCAGATGATGGAGCTGATGAATCGGTTAACAGCCCAGAACCAGGTGCTAACGGAACGGCTCGTGGCACTCGAGCGTGACCAAGCTGAGGGGCGTTCAGAGTCGTCCTATAGAGCCTTCACGCCTCCCCTAGCAGCAGCCGCAATCGCCGAGCTAGCTGCGCGCAGGAACAAGTTCCCGCACCTAGAACCATTTGATGGAGATCGAACGAAGTACGTAGCGTTTAAATATAAGACTTAAGCTAAGCTCTAGCACAAGTACAAAGGAACTTCAAGCC